CAGACTCATTTCAAGGTGAGGACTGGTTTTGGACAAGGCTGATAGCTCTATCGCTCTCTTCTGGTAATTGATGGGATTATGAAAACCTTCACATCCGACGGAACGCACGGAATACAATGGACAGCTTGGATGCAACCAGACGATTTAGACATCAGATGACCTAACCAAGCTATTCCATACATATCAACAAACGCAGATCAAGACAAACAGTGTAGCCGCAGCCTCTGCATCAGTACACCTCAACATACTCAAGGGAAAAAGCAACATCCTCTTATACAACACGGAGAACACCAACCAAACCAATCATACTTTATGGAGAAACTCTGGAAGATGTGGAATCCTTCACATGCCTGGACAGTATCATCGATGAACAAGGAGGACATGATGTAGACGTCAAGACATTGATTGGCAAGACAAAAACAACATTCCTACAGTTGTAGAACATATGGAAGTCAAAACAGCTCCCAACTAATATCAAAGTCATAATCTTCAATAACGACGTCGAGACAGTTCTAATGTACGGAGATGAAACTTCGAGAACTATCAAAACCATCATCCAAAAGGTAAAAGTATTTATAACCATTTGTCTACTCAAGATTCTCAGTGTCCGTTGGCTAGATACCATCAGTAACAGCTTATTGTAGAAGAGAACAAACTAGCTTTGAGCTGGATAAGAAATTAAGAAAAGACGCTGCGAGTGGATAGGGTATATATTGAGGATATCATCAAACTGCATAATGAGACAAGTGCCAACTTGGAATCCTGATTGGAAAAGGAAGAGTGGAAGACCAAAGAACTCCTTGAGTCAGAAATTAGACACAGACATGAAAAAGACGAATAGCAACTGGGAAGAACTGGAAGGCATTGTCCGGGACAGAGGCAGATGTAGTATGTTGGTGGATGGCCTATGCTCTTCAATGAGGCGTAACAGACGTAAGTATGTCATTTTAGTAACAAATGTTCTACTATACAAAACATAAGATTAGTGTTCCATACACAATCATTTTCTATCTTATCCAACACTTCTAAAATACCGCTAGTGGATTCTGTATTGCAATATAACTTCATAATGACTAAAATTGAACAAATCGCTTTAAATATTGATGATATATTCATTCATATATATATATATAGATATCCCTATTTGCATGATACAAAATTAAATCAGAAATCTAATTCAATAAACTTTCAGTTCATACGGTCACAAATACAAACTTCACTATAATTAATGCGGTTTAGATAACCAGTGAATAATATTACCGGCAAACCCAACCAAGTTAGTTGAATAGTCTTGAGAATAAACCTTAAAGTAGGTTATTAAATAGTATTTATTATTGTCTCAAATATCTGTCTACATTTTTTGGGCATCGACAGAACTATTAAAGGGAAATATACCACTGAAAATACACATTTCTATTCATAAGATCATTCATCTTTCACTAGAAAATATGGTTTAAAAAACTATGAATTTTGTTTAGTTTTTTGATTGCATAGATTTCGAAAACATACCTTAATATCTAGTAGATGTGGGGATAACTACATAAGTAGCATTGACAATGCTGATTACTATAAAGTTTACAAATTAAATTGACCAACAATTGAAAATTTGTAAATAATAATAATAATATTTTTTTGAATATGAATATTCATTTGATTTACTGTACTTTTATCAAAGCATTCTATTCCGATTCCACAGGTTTTCTATATATAACACTGAAAATACATTAATTGGCCACTCGGTAATTGACAACATACTATCTATACCATAGATCTTATTGACTAATTATTTGCTTGAAAAATGTATTATTTATATCATCACTCTATTGTTAAAAGATATATTTAATCTCATCGTTGCTGAGTTTAAAATATTTTTATGCTTAATGTATTAAAACTCACGATTTCAAGTAAACAGGTATCTTAGACACTAGATCCCACATTCAAATATCAAGACTCAAATAGAATAACAAGAATCTGAACTTCAGTAAAAGGAACTTTCATTTCGTCAGATGGAATTTTCAAATGTTCTCATTCGATTATGCGACCATTTGATGAAAAGTTTATGCTGATTACGAAATTAGTTGGAGTAATAAATAGCAATTGACTTTACCTACTCATAAGTAGCCTAAATTATTTGACAGCATTTCTGACAAAATTTCACAGTGTGAAATTTACAGATATAGCACTTCAGTCAAATAACGCTTAATTTCTTTAAATATGGCACATTTTTGAGATTAAATGGTTTGTGTTAAACGTACCTATGCATGACTTTATGATGGTACTTCTTATTACAGTATCGTGCTTTCAAATGGAAATTATGGACTTCACACTAAATTCGATAACCGGGTCATAAAATAAATTGCAAGAATTTTAATGCTCATTTACCATAAACTAGATTGTTGTTCTACATTGTTAAGACAACTAATGCATTTGTTAAGTTTAACCTGTATTACAAATAAATTCTCAGGTCAATGATCACCATTCCTTCAAAATTGGAATTTCGTGACAGACATGATTATTTTTTAAGATATCACGTTCAATGTGAAATATAGACTTCAATTTTGATTATTAATAAACATAACCGAAAATAACGAAATACTCCGACTTCCTCATATATGTACATTCCTATATATGACTTCATTCTGTGCAGATTTTTGTTTCAATTTACACTTCATTTCCTTTTTGATACCGTTCTATGAGTTTACTGAACTGTTTGTTCTACTTTTATCATTCAACTACATTCTCTAATTACTTAACCTTCTTCACGTTATATTACAAATATATACTTTTTTTTTATATTCATTTACTCGCATAACTTGAAACAGATGTTCATTTATATTAGTACTATTATTACTAACCAATGACATTCGGAACTAAAAATAAAATAGATGTACATACAGTATTCAATTATTGTAGATTTAATAGGCTTAAAAATATTTCACATACACTAAATGAATATACTTATTTTCCATTGTTCTGTAACTACGAAATAGTCTGTAATGTAGCTTACATCAATTAAGAATCATTCTATTATTCAACATTTTTTCTGAGTATTTTTATTAATTAACAGATATGTTGTGATAGAATAGGCATAATGTAATGTTTCTTTTAGTTTAGGTTTATGTCCTAATAAGAAGAGGATTCTATTTTCATTTTGTATCAAGGAGAAACCACTGAAAAAAAACAAAGAAATGTATTAAACATGAAAATATTCGAATTCAGCTTTTTTATTCACATTAGCAGTTATATACTAGTGACATTGAGATTATGAAATGGTTTATCAATCAAGAATTTTTGCACAGTTACTTCAAGTATGAATACTAATTATATCAACAAGAATAAACTACACGACTCATTTTTAGAATAAGAAAATCACACAAGGTTATAAGTTCTATATATTAGCAAGTATAAAGAAACAAAACAACAATGTATAGAACAAATGCAACTCTAAACGGAAGAACAAGAAAAATACATCTAAATCTACAATTTCTCTATTTCTAACTGTAGATTGTAATCAGAAAAAAACTATACAACGGATTCTGTGGTTGCGAAGTTTACCAAGGTTTGTTTTATATCTAGAAATGTGTGAGTTAATATCCTGTCCGGCTAACGAGTTACTTACGAGCACATTTCAAAATTTGGTGAGGGTAGACAACATATTTTCTCGTAAATAAATTTAATTGTTTGGAAATTGTATAATATACTTAAAAGTTAATCTTTATTTACCACCGATAATAAACGTGCCGTCTCCAGGATATTAGTAGTGTTCAGTGTGTCACGTAGCGTGACATTTCCCAGTTTTATTCAGATAAAATAGGTTATTTTTTGAAAGAAGAGAACTTAGCGCTGCATGACCCAGCTATCCATAAAATTCGTTGTGGAACATAAAATGGACATTTAACGTAATTAACATCCAACTGATTAAATTTATGTGAGATTAGTATATGTATTTTTCGCTTCGATATATAATTCATCTTTTCCACCAGCAGGAATTTATGTAAACATTGATGTTACGCATCCAGAGATAATGGTTTTATGTTAAAACCATACTTTTGATAAACATCAAGCTATGAAATATATCCTTCGACTTAATTTGACAGGATCCTGGTGATTTCAATAATTTCATCAGTCATTTCAGTGATCAGTAATACAGTGGCGTTTAATATATTAAGTATACGACAAAAGTATTATTTCTAGTTTTTTGAACAATCAGTTCTGATGCATATATAATCTCAAGAGTTTATGTATAAACTATACAGGTTGCAAAAGAAAAAGGTTAACAAATTATATTTTCATCCAATTTATATTAAAATGAGCCTCCTGCAAAGGAAGCAACATTAATATCGGCACAAATAACAATTAAAAATAAAAGACTACATATATTTATGTATGTATATATACGCTGAAAGAGATCAAAAGAAATTTGTAATTTCAATTTATAAGAGATCACTTTCTACTTGACTGTTTGCATAAATATACTTATAAACGTTATGATGTAACAACATTACAGGACAATGGAAGAAATGGTAGAAAAGTTATTTTATCAATTAACTGAGCTATCTGTATATATAGAAGCACGTTCACTGAAAAAGAACCCAACTATACGCGTTTTTTTTTAACTTTTGTGCTTTTATTGTTTAACCAAAGGATATTAAAAACAAATTAGATTATGGATTAGAGAAAGAGGACAAATTAGATTCACTTGTCTAAATAAACATAATAAACTGATATTTCTATGTCAAACATACATACAAACAGAAATGCACGTACGAGTCAAAACAAGATTCATTAACGTGCAGAATAGTCTTTGAATTATTCATACAAACAAACAACTATATGTTTGTGTGTGAATTGATAATCTACAGTGATAACACTTAATAATATGGATTTAGAACAGGAACGTAATTTAAGCAATATCATCATGATCAACATTGATAATTGAACACTTCACACAAGAAAACTATGTCATAGATTGTATAACGGGAAAAGGAATAGGATTTTCATCAAATTAAACGAGCTAAAACAGTTGTTTGTTCATTTGAAGCTGCTGGAATAGGATAAAAACCAAAACGTCGATAAAGTTCTGCCCGATGTTCATTGATAGTATCCAACTGTACATGTGCTCCCTGTAGCAAAATAGAAATACGATAAAAAACAAACCCTATTATAATACCACTAACAGAACTTAAATGAAATAACGAAATAAAAAAGTTGTTTATTACATACTGATTGTCGATGAAATTCAGAATGTAGATTTTGTCTCATATGAAGACTCATCAACTAGACATGGTTGCATTCTAGTAATTACCAGTGGCCAACACAAAGCACAATCTTATATCTTTCGTATCAAGTGTATTATTCATTGTTATTGAATCATAAAAAATACATTTTCTTGTTATTTAATGGTTTTTGTTTGTACATTAGATTGGTTCAACTAATTTTTTCTCGATAATATAGGCTCCATTATATATATCGATAATGTTGTTGTCAGGTTAAAACTAAGTAAAGTAATCCAGTATTATCAACCAATATAATGTAGAATAAAAAAAATCGAGCTTCGTAAACTAACGGAAAACATGACATGAATGATGAATCTACAAAATAAACATAACTTTTCTATTCCAATTTAAGAAATATAAATATTTGCAGTTTACATGAAATGGTTTTTTGAAAGTAACCAATGTGATGATCTAAGCATAAGCATTGACAATTTAGTTAAAAGATTGTCAATTCCATTCACATGATATACTCGTAAAACTTTAGTCACAATTCTGATTGATTGGTTCAGTTGAAAATTTTAAAAGTAATTCTCTGTTATAGAATTCTCAGCTAAATAATACAATAATCAAAATGTACCAAAGCATTATATTCAAGGTTTAAACAATCCTTGCTAATTTACATCTAGTCAGTCAGTCAGCTACAACGTGGGACCAGGCACATATATGCATCGGTCTAAATTGCCATACCTCATTAACACAACAAGATGGACACCGGATACATAAAAGTAGTTAATTCAGAGGTGGTAATATATAAAAGAAAGATTGCAATAAGGATATAGTGCAGGAAGAAAGAATTAGTTCGTAGAAAGATATGGAGCGATTTTAATCTCTTAGTTTAAGGGAAGATAGATAGTGTATACACCTACGCCATTGTGATCGATTCTGAGTCATGTCACCAAGAGTCTCCAACCATTGGTTACGATAGGCACGCGGACCCCAACCAAGTAGTCTGCATCTACCAACATGACTCAAACTAGAAGTTAGTGACTGATGCCACGTTTTGGTTTGGCCACACCTAATTTTCTTCCAATCATCCCCGACACTGGTCAGCATTGCGCGTCGTTGTAAACGGTGTTCAGGCATATGCAACATTTAATTCTAAGTATTTGTTAAATGTAGATTTGAATATTTCATAATAAATTCAATTTAATCTAGTTTATTTCTTACATAAATATTTAAGTTAAAAATTATTTACAAGTGATTAATCACTGAGTTGAGACCACTGTCATGCTTGTCGAGAATATTTTAGTAACTAAACGAATTTTACCGATTAAATTGAAATAGAATAGTGATAATATCTTACAAAATTATACTGTTTATATGTCTCCGAAATATATACTTATTTAAGAAAACAATTATCAAAAGAAACAAGAAATAGAAATAGTTGTTTAAAATAAGGAAATTTATCAGTCATATTTTATAATAACAAATTATCATTTAAGAACTTGCATGAGCGCCGACTGTCTTCAATGCCGCTAACAAACAAATAAATAATCGACGTGCTACAGAATCCAACAACACTTCAGGTGAATCTGCACATAATCCAAGATTATGATTAATAAGCATAGCAGGTGTAGGACCATTAACACAACTATTTAATCCTATATCATCAAATTCAATCCATATAATAGCGGGATGAGCTGTTAAAGCACTATGAAGTGCTTCTGGTCCACCAGCAACAATAAGATTCCGAGCTATCACTGAATTTGTTGTTGCAGGACTACTTGAACATGTCTCAGGCACTAATGATGGTGCACAAGTAGTTCCAGATGGTGGAGATGGAGGAGCGGTATCTGGTAAAATAGGTGTAGGCAAAGGTAAAGCTGGGATAGTTGCACCACATTCATCAATAGGAAAAGAAGACTTTAATTCTAATTGAGATGACAAATTAGTAGGAATATTAGAAGTGATTGGAGCAGTCGTACAATTAGGTTCACATTGTTCCAAACAACCAGATAGTGGTGGCTCCATGGGAAGGCATCCACCAAGTGGTTCAGGAGGAGGGATTAAATTCACAGCTGCAGCAATATCAACAACTTCAGATGTATCATTGTGGAAAGAAGAAATCATAGACTGAAAATTAAAAAAATGACTAAGACGTTACTATTACTTTAAGTAGTCAATAATTTACATTTTGTATAGTTGACTGTAACAAGCTGTAGCTATCTTTCAATCTTAATTAGTATAGCCATGGTCATCAGTGGTTGGGTATCATAAGTGAAAATATTTAGATATCCATTATGACAAAACATATATTTCATGGCTAATTTTGTATACATTTGAACTTATTATCAAATTAGTTAAATATTCACTGGATATTTTTTAGTTCATTTAAATGAAATCTTTAGTTGGAGTAGTATGGGAATCTGAATCAAAAGACTACTTCATACAACTCAGTATACTTATTTGATAATGATACAGGGACTCAGCACTACAATGTCAGAAAACTCAGCTTAAGTAAAGAAATTATAATCCTTAGTTGAAACAAATTGACTATGTTTTAAACATTATTACTGCGTGCATTCGATCCGTCGGAATTTTTTAAAGTCCGTAAATTGTGTGTATGGAACTAGTACAATGATTACTAAATCCAACAAGATCTTTAGGTCTAAACAGTTGTTATACACTAAATATGTGGAATTGAATACATCAATCATAACAAAAAACAAAGATGATAGTAAATGAGCAAAAAATATTACTATTATTATTCACCTTGATGAATTCTTCGACAGCCACAGAATTTTGACTTGGAGTAATGCTTGAAGAACGATCATCTGTTAAAGGGGAAAGTGGGGCAGATGAAATTACAGGAGGTTCCAGTCGAGCAGTATCAGTCGCAGTAACAACGTTCAAGTTAGAGTTGTTGGTCTCACCATTTCCAACGAATAATTTGTTACAATGCGATAAATTGTGTATTCCAATTTGGAAATCACGTGGATATTTCAATTTCATTGACTCTCGATAGTGAGTAGTACGTTCACGAGCCCAACATACAGCATCTGGTGCTGAAACACCAAAGCCAACACAATTACCTGTGGTAGAATGATCAGTATTTGTGACTGAGCTAGAGCAATCAACTGAGGTCTGCAGGAAGGGTGGACCCATAACCATAAAACAATTTTCAGGTGAATGTTGTAGAAATGGAAGTAAATACCTACAAGTTGATACCAAACACGAACGAAGTAAGAGGAACATATACGAGTTAAATATAGGCAGTACGTTTATGTTTACATAAACAAATACTTTTAAAAACTTCTGTTGATCATTTAGAGGCAGTGAACAATAAGCATACTTAGTAGATTGCAATCTTTTTAAAATGTTACATGAACAAGACCTGGAAATGCTAATCAGGATGGTAATCCCATAGTTTTTTTTTCTAAATGCTCACAAACTGTAGTTTTAAAGCGTTTTATCAAGTAGCTAGTAAATGGTTAGATTAAAATACTAGACAACCATTTAGTTCATGCTTTGAACTAACCAAGATATAATGATGAAAATCACACTAAAATATTTGAAAGATTTAAATGACACAATATGTTTCCATTCTTGCGTGATTCCAATGACCTTATTTGGTAGTACAACTGACCTCTGACAATTATTTACAAACTGATTACAATCAACGATAATTTATCAAGAAATTGATTTTAATCTTAGTTTACTCATGAAAATAACTAAATTGTAGTGTGATGGAGAAAAAATTAACCCAACAATTGAAACTTAATTTTAATGGTACTTAAGTGACCTAAGAAATACGTATCTCCCGATTTCTAATGTTTCGACTGACTTTTAAGTATGTTTATTTTTGCTTGATATGTTTTACGTAAGTGCGTTATTTTATTAAATGAATAAATAAGCTATTCAGCTGGCCAACTGTTTTGTCTTCTGATTTAGGTTCATTGCAAGTGGATGTCAATAATTCGATCACTTGAATAGTTACCACTTGGCCAGGTTCTATACTGATTATGACTATTACTTGCCCGGTCACATCGTATCACTGTAATCCAACCTATAGATCAGCACTGGATACTTCATGTTAACAATCTAAAGCCTATTTAAATCGCAAAATAATAATTTCTAACAAACTAATAAACAATAAGTGGGCTACGCACTTACATTATATATTATAAATTAACCTTGAAATAAATTAATGATGTTTATTTGACTATTTTTTTACTATAAAAATAACCACAACAATAAATCCATAGAGTTTTATTATATTTAATAATATTCATTACCAAATCTATTGAAAATATTAAAAACTACACAATGATGATTTCATTATAGTGATCTCAGCACATATATAAGTATCCTAATGTAAATTGGAGAATCAATGGAAACCAGGGAGAATTCAATAATTGATACGTTCTACTTTGAACGGGTTTTTAACTAGTGTACACATACGACTCCAAACAAGATCGAACCTGGAAAACTGAATTATTTAGTAATTTTACTTAGTTAATGATGAAAGTTGTATTCAAATTACACATAATCTTCTTAAAACTATCTTCGAAAATAAATACTTCATATATGGATTTACTCACTTGTCACCTGGTAAATCCTGGAATTCTAATGGAAGAGCGTTTTCAGGTAAACCAACACGAGTCAAAAGTAGTTTTCTGAATAAGCCATACATACATGATTTATCTTCAGGTCTATATGGTCGAACTATATATGATGGAAACCTTGAAAAATTTGGGAAAATTGAAGGTTGAATTGGAATCATTGGGGGAACAGAAGGCGCAAGTGGTGTGTATACACTTGATGCATTATCAGGCCAATTCAAACAAGGAATGGTAGTCATGCCTGGGACAGCACGACTTGGTGCAGGGAAAAGATCTTGAGCAGATTCGAGAGGTAAAATTCTCTGAACAAGGAAAAGAAAACCTCTAGTTATCATATTCAAAAGACCTTTAAATGTATGATGTCATACAGACTACAACATAACCAACTATTGAAAATTTAGACTGAAAGAAATGTAACTTGTAAGGATCGTAACAAACAAAATAGCATGCTTATAATTTAAGAAAATTGTTCATACTGATTTTATCTTAAAAATATATATGGTGTAAAACCTTACAAGGAATAATTTGTTACCTTTAATGATCCGTTTATTTTCAAAGTATGATTTATATAAATATAAAGCTAATGGTTGATAAATCTGAAAACAATGAGTCGAATCGATTCATAACTGAGTAAATAATTTTTGGAACTATGTAAGTATAGATAGTTCTATGAGTTTAATGGTCATCTAAGTATATAAATTAGCAGAAAATTTGTATGAATATTAGATAAAAAGTTCCACTTGATTGGTCAATAAGTACTGACCTCTGTAATTTAGTTCTGACCGAATTTTATAGATGAAGTTGCAATGTGACCTACATATCAAAATAATGCACCCGATGTTGAGCCACTTATACTAGTGGTCACATTTAATCTTGATCGATAGAATTTCGTTAGCATTCAAGAGCCCAACAAATATAACGGCGGTCGCCACATAGTGATTACCGAATCATAGATATTTCAGTCCTACATGAGGTCAATCGATCTTAAAATAGCTCAATGTTAATGTCTTAGACTATGAATTTGGGTGACGTGGGTTCGAAACCACTAGGGGCACCAGTACCCTCATGATTGCAGGTACCCCTTGGTAACGAGTGCTAACTACTATAAAGCCTAAATCCAGAGTTTCTTGTCAACTAACTCCAACCACTCAACTGAATGAAAGCTAGCTGAAAAGTAAGATTTTATTTACCTGAAGTTCTGTTATCAATCCACCACGAAATGTCCATGGTTCTTGATCACCAGATGTTACCATATCACGGTAACCAGGCGAAAACCCTAAAATTTTAAGAAATGGAAGATTTTAAATAAGAATAACGCAAATTCTTTTAGTTCTCATGAAATACAAAATGAAACAGGATAAAATATTGATCCGCAAAGAACAAACAAACAGCCGTACGCCGAACAGCATCATTGTCAAGGAAGCCGAAAATATACATACACCGTTTATTTACATTAAAATGATGTTAAGCCTAGAGGTGGTACATAGGAATTACGCAAAGTACCCCACTTTGACTTAAACAGAAGACAAATACTTGGAAACAAAAATGAGCTCTTTCAAGACGCTTCCCTTCTCTAACAAGTGATTTCCACCATAGTTTACCCTTGGAACTAATAATAAACAGCTGTCCTCTAGTTTGAAGCCTAAGCTACTGTAAATCAATAACACGTCCCCCATTTTCATGCGTAATCATGTATATACCAGCTACTATTGGCTACAACCACAACAATAAATGATAACTTTTTTCTAAGATAATTTAGATCATGATGTTTAATCAAACTGAGAATTAATGGAAAATAGAAATAAATAAACGTTTGATAATAGTCTAGGATTTCACAACGGTGCAATCCTATACGGGATCAGGTTCAAGAAAATCTTGTATTAATTACTAAACTACTGGCATTCAATATGTATAAACAGTAGCAAACCTATAAAAACTTACATGTTAAAAGCCGCTTTAAATGAGACATGCTACGAAAAGCCATGACTCCAGTTTCTGTAAAATATTAAGAAAAACACTAGTTATGCTAAATATCTGGGAGCTCAGGTTAATAGATGAAACAATATTGTAAGAAAACTTTACTTCTACCTGAAGTTTGTGCTGATGATGTCCATCCAGCTCAGAGAACAAAACACCGAAAACTTTGGTCGTTTCATTGAATAGAACTTATAAATGAACTCGAGGGCGGAGAATTACTCGGTTTAAGACAATATTTTCCTTGAAATGTTAAGAGCAATAATACTTCAGAAGAATAACTAAACTATATGTGGAGACTTGGTAAGGTTATATTCATGAAATAAACTAACAAATACAATTCGAAACAATCAGTAGAAAAGTTTTTACTGTCACGACTGATAGGTTTGTAGGAATTTACACGGGAATTAATTTGCGATCAGTTTTATTATGGTCATAATTTCAGACTAATACAAATAAAGAACACATATTCCACCAAAAACATTACTGTTCATTCTATTGAATATGGATTATGGTTGAATGTATACGTTCCGAATGTTTTTAGACAACAATAAACAAAGCGAAACCATTTAAATCCCTGGTTGTAAATTTGGAAAGTACTCTGACTAGTGTTGTTTGATCAGACCGTTAATATAATATTATATATATAGCGTAGGGCTTACCTAACCATCGGAAATAATCCAGGATAATTCCAACTACACTATGAACTTCGGTTATATATGGTACTAGTTCATAGGAGATACTTTTAGATGGTTGAATGTATACGTTCCGAATGTTTTTAGACAACAATAAACAAAGCGAAACCATTTAAATCCCTGGTTGTAAATTTGGAAAGTACTCTGACTAGTGTTGTTTGATCAGACCGTTAATATAATATTATATATATAGCGTAGGGCTTACCTAACCATCGGAAATAATCCAGGATAATTCCAACTACACTATGAACTTCGGTTATATATGGTACTAGTTCATAGGAGATACTTTTAGATGGCAAACGTTGTATACGATCTCGTATTCGACCAATTGTAGAAACCATATCTATATAATCTGATAACTTTTTGTTCCATTCAGTTGCTTTCTAAAAGTAAAAAATAAATGAAAAAATAAAGAAACTACCATGATATTTTGTTGATTACTAATTATTCAACTAGTTATAATCAACAGAGTTTGATACAAATGTAAGTTAGCTCAATTCTCTATACCACATCAGTATTGACTAGATGAAATTAGCAGGATTAATAGAGAATGAGTTCAGATAATAGTTGTAGTCATGATAATGAGAAAGGTTGAATTTTGAAAATGTGGTTCAAAAAGACTGATTGAAAAGATATATATGAAGAAATACTGAAACTGAAGATCTGAATGAAGATAAAGGGTGCATGTATATGTGTCACTGTGATCTGTTCTGAGCTATGCGAGTTTATGTTTCCAACCACTGATTTTAAGATTATTTTAAATTATAAACCACATAAAGACATAAGTTGCTGGTTGTATTAATAACATCAAATTCTGTAATTATCTCCATAACTGTGAACTACCCGCATTTACAAACCTGAAGAATTTACATTCGTTATTTTTAGAGTTACAAGTTTAATTCCACATCATTTGATCAATTCCATTGTAATATACTCCAGTTTTTCGAAACATAGTCGACAAACATGCGTGATCTAAGGAAAGATAGTCCTAAGAGACATGCTCCTCTGCGAGGTATAACGAACGTAAGTAAGCAACTTAACGAGACAAAAGGAAACGAAGTTCTACTAACGCGACCTGAAAAAGGGGAAAGATATCGTATTATCAAATCGCCATGACTTTATATTATTAAAATGTCAGATGATATAAAATTCTTAAATCTGAAGGCGAAAAGAATAGAACCAAGATGATTGGAAAATAAATTACACGGATTTTAAAACGGTTCGGTCGTTCAGATAAAAAAAGTTCAAAAGGCAAAACAAATGAGAGATATTATTAACTTATGAAATGAAGATCATTAAATTTCGATTAGTTAATGCAACGTTTGATTATTTAGAACAAAAAATGGAAACATGCTGATTTATCACTTGTGATTAGCAAGAAATAAAGCTAACTGTACTTATGTAAGATGAATATTAATGGAATGCTTCTTCACATTGTATAATATGAAAGCATTACTTTCAGAACAAAAAGATATCTTCACACTGAACTTCATAATTGATGACTATTACCTCAAGATCAGATGGGTTAGGTCCACAAACATACGAATATTCACGTAACCAATGTCCTAATTCTAGTAGACGAATAGCTGAGGGTCCATGAGAGAAAGGTAAATAGAAAAGATCAGCGAACATTTCCAAATCCTCTAAGGTAACAGTAACTGAATTTACATCACCTATAAGATCACATATTTAAGAAAGGATACATATATAAAGTAATAATAATAATAATAATAATAATAATAATAATAATAATAATAATAATTTGGTGGAAAATAAATTAATAAAATTGCAAGTTTTAGATGAGTTTATGAATTCTTGTCAGTAGAGTTCATATATATATATATATATATATATATATATATATATATATATATATATATATCAGTCTGTATTTACGCTAATATATTTTCGATTACATGTCAGCTGAGATTATAACAAGTGATTGTACTGTATAGTAACTAAAAGCAAACTAACAATAATAATAATATGAGGAAAATAAAGATAAGCTATTCTTATCATGATTACTTCCCTTTGTCTAATGATGCAAAACAATGTAAGACATGCAGCAAATACATAATTTTTTAGTACCATGATGACATGATTCATCCTTGACTAGTACCAGAGAATAATTAGGAATCTAGAATACACTACGTAATAACTTGAATTAGTTATTCGTATTACACATAAGTTTGGATCCAATGCTAACTTTGTTAGAAAAGACAGTATTGTTACAACCGAGGTTGTAATCATGTGGTTAGATAAACACTCGACTGGTTGGATTAACTGAAATTGTACTGCATGGGTGACACAGATTTATTTGACATAATTAAAATCATACTGACGACATAGTAGCTAGAAGGTCAAAACACGATATAACAAAATAGTAATCTTCAGTTTACTAGATTAGTCAATCTATTTACTTTCTCTATGTGATTTGTTTCAATAACCTGGTCAAGGATGTAAGGTATACAATAGTCTGGTTAAAAAACATATTACCAACCTATGTAAATCGATTTGGGTTACTGTTGTGAGACAATTAAGACACAACATTATTTCTAATTAGAGAGATATCTCGATAGCTAAAGGGCTTGATTTTCAGTAATTGGTGGTCATAGGCTTAACACATCTGTTTCATTTACTTCAGTTTGGAGGTAGCTAAATCCATACAATTAACCTCTCTATAAAAAGCATTACTTAGATTTAAGTACACTGGCTAGTGAATGACACCAGTTACTGATGTAATAGGTTTCCTGTGATAACTGAATGATTTGATTTTCGCAACGGGGATTCGTCAGATTAAAGATCGAAAATCTTAGATTTGTGATACCTTTCTTCATAAAATAAAAATGTGGATATTCAATGGTATTTCAATACAACCTCCATTTCTATAAGGCGCTAATTATATACACAGGTGATAATTAAAATTATCTTAGAAATCCTGGGTCATGGGAATATTTGAACTAGCTCCATCTGGACTACGGCTTCAATTACTTTACAGATTGAGTAATAACACTCAAAAGATAACGAGATCATGATTTTACTCTCTTTATCATATTATTATTCATAATAAATATTCGAGAACTGTTAATTGAGTAAACCAACAATTAATAAAACTATTTGAACTGTTATAATGTTGATTTTAAATCGATTGTAAACAAATATTTACGTTGTATTGGTAATATACGCTTTATGTTGTCAACAAATTTGATTGACTAACCTGAAATAGGGGTTTCAGAAGAATTATTATCAGAAGTCATGACGACATTGGAAGGGGTGGATTCAACCTAATAATTATCAATTAAAGCAAATATTACATGGAATTTACACGGCAATGAATACCTGTATAGATTTGAAAACATCTTATTGGAAAACATTATTTGATAGTGGTATCACTGTTCAACCTAATAATACAGTATAAAACACTTAACGTTAGAATCGACTGATGATCCTGATTAATCACTTGCATGAGACTAGTTGGGCAAATACAATCAAAATGATATGAACAGCATATGTGATATTAGTTTTTTGTCTCCTTCAAGATGGATATTGTCAAGAAATTCGGAGACTGGTTTATCTAACTGTACATCTGTATGCTACTTATGTCGATAGAGTTACGAAAGTCAGTGTGGCACAGACTGCAGTAAGGAAGTGGCACGGCGAGCAGAACAACCTCAAGAACGACCATTTTTAAAGGGAAGACGAGTGTGGTGCATGCTACTTATGTCTGTCGACATAAGTAGTATTTAACACCAATAAGGAGTGAGACACATAGCAGCAGAAAGCTAAGAAGATCGAATTGAAGAAAACAGAAATGAAAATAGGAATAAATTGTAAATTAGAATAATCACAGAAAACGTAAAGAACAATTGATGGAATACTAGTATAGGGGTTGTGGAGATTATTAAGTTTTTGATTGAGACCATGAACCGATTGATGTTAGACCATCACAATTGAAAACCTGGAAGCACTGGACGGCCGTTTCGTCCTATTGTGGGACCCCTCAGCAGTGCGCATCCACGATCCCGCGAGCGGGACTCGAACCCAGGGCCTTCGGTCCCGCGCGCGAATGCTTAACCAACTGGACCACTGAGCCGGCATCCAATGGTGATAGTTTCTAACATCAACCAATCCACGAAATTGCGCGACCAACTTCCGTTGTACTGAGGTAGATACCTGTCTCTACCCGACAAGGATTAGCTCCACTGGTCACGGCTTCTCACTAGAACTCCGAGAATTCCCTCACGAAGCTAGTCACTAGTGGACACATGTTGATTACTAGTATAGGGGTTGTTGAGATTATTAAGTTTTTGATTGAGATCATGAACCGATTGATGTTAGACCATCACAATTGAAAACCTGGAAGCACTGGACGGATGGAATATCTGCAAATGAAGTATTTTATATATGGATCTTATATTTTACCAAGATACTGTGTAATTTTGTATTAAAATACATTAATTACCCCCACCTGTATGTCCGTTCACTACACGTCTACTGTAACTATTTTCACATGACCATTCAAACTGGTGAATGCATATAGAGGAGATAAATTCACGGAAATAAGACGGCAAATTTGACATACACAGAACATCAAGTGAGTTTACAGCTTTCTAAGATACGAGATATGAGTCTTCGCTAACTTTCATAAGTAACCGCACTACATTATGTTACTCGTTCAAACCGAACCAAAGTCGAATCCCTTTGAACTGCACACATCAACAAAACTAAGTTATATAATGAAACAAAGTTTATAGTTTTAACAAGAATCAGAAGCTCTCATATGGCAAGTTGTATATATTCTTAGCAAAAAATGACAATCCATGAAAGGAAAGTTGTTAAAAATAGTTTTGATCTTGTATTTAATTAGTTAGAAGATTGTAACTATTGTTCAAAATCAACAGACATCATTGTACACATGATCATTTGGTATTGATATATTTATGCTCATTCATTAAAAGTGTAACATCATCTTTGATACTCCACAAACTATCCTAATTATTAGCTAGTACTCACTTGAATTCTTACATCGTATACCGCCGTGCTAAATAAATCTAAAGGATAAGCTATATCCAGTACTGTGAAACAAAGCGCGATTACATCACAACCCATAATCTACACATACAAGTGTATTTCAAACAGAAAATACAGATAAGAAGAAATGAGCAACTAGATCGACTGAATCAGCTAAGCGTAAATGATTATCTCTTGTAAAGATATGCAAATTTTAGAACTAGACAAGATTCTCTTACTACCAGCTAAAAATAAAGAAACAACAAACAACACTGATATATCTCTAAACTGTTGAGTGCTTTTCCAGTGCTTATTGAGAGACTGTTTTGATACAGACAAACCAAAAACACTGGGCCGTATAGGAGTCTATATAATGTTCCGAATCTTTGCTGAGTAACAGAAATTTCAAAAACCTGTAAGTTGATGAACAACGGTAGGATTTCTGAGAGATAAGAGGGAGATACAGTAAATTTGTAACCTGCATATATAAAAGAAACTTTTTTATGTTACTCTGATTAAAGCAAGATAATGTAACCAAGAAAACCAGAAAAACAACACATGACATTTCAAGATAATGAATTTGAATTAAGATATTTTAAGAGAAAAATAACCAATTGACAACGTTCAATTTACCTGCATAGGAGCTTCGTTTTGACCAGTTTCAAGATTATCTGTATCCATAGGTGTAGGAGTACCTATAGCCGTGCTAGGTTTTGAAGCACCAACCTTTAAATGAAAATTTAGAGTTATACCTTAGTAATTGAAGACGGTGGTAAAAAAAAACATTAAAAGTATCGACAGAGCTAAAAACACTATCAAACGTCAAATGATAAGAAACGCTCTGGAAACTTATCGATAATCCTAAACATGTGTAATATTAAACCCACTATTGTACATGTGTAAGGTAAATCCCATATCAGTTTACGATTAACAATTTTAAGAACAAGATACTGTTTGTGAGGACGCACTAAAGATGATATCTAAATCGATTTCAGAATTTCAGTTTATAAAAACTGACAAATGGATCAGAATTTACAATTAATTAAGTTCGAAAACAGCAGACTACATATTACTATTACTTCAAATTATGCGAAAAGTTAGCAAGCATTTCATTAATCTCTAAAAAGTTCTTTATTGATGGAGTAGCAAGTCCAGCCGGTTTTCTTCTGATTAGCGTTTTTTAGCGAGTTAGTTTTCTACAGGATGGGGTCACTAACCCCATGCCTAACCCTCCTCCTTCATCCGGGTTTGGGACCGGCAGTTGCCCCCGGAGGGGCTCCACGCTCAGCAGAGGAACCAGTCAGGATGAAGTGCTGGAAGTGCATAGAACACACATTGAAGAAAGCACCTAACTGCGTTACAAGACAAGTCCTCAAATAGAATCCTCAAGGCAAAAAGGAGAAGAGGAAGATCAAAGAACACATTACGCCGAGAAATCAAGACAGACATGAGAAGAATGAATAACAATTGGATAGAACTCGAAAAGAAGGTCCAGAATAGAGTGGGTTGGAGAATGCTGGTCGGCAGCCTATCCTCTATTGGGAGTAACAGGCGTACGTAAGTAAATAAGTAAAGTAAGCAAGTCGGGCCTCACCCTCTGAAAATCAGACGTCGTTCTTGGAGACAAGTGTAAGTAAGTAATCTAACAAAAAACCAGTTGTTAGTACATTCAAACAATGGTCACTGTCCAGTCTGCAATTGGTAAACTGTTATATTCCGACGAGAATTATGAATGGTAACTTTTGAGAACTATTTATGAACCAATACGATACATATATTTTTATTGTATAGTTGTTAAGTAGCTAAACTATGCATATTCATGTTCCTCTTATTATAAGCTTTATTTTGACACATAGACTATTATTATACGGTTTACCGTTCTTGAGTTATGCCCACTATATTAATTACAGTCTCCCACATTCACAGCCACTTTTGGCTAGAACGTGTACAAATGTTATTTCCTATTTTATGGCACGATGTAGTCTGTCTGGTTTGTATATGAACCCAGTATGTTCGAAATACATGATTCATATCACGGAGGCTGAGATTGGTGTTCTGGACTTAACAGTCAAGGTTAGGCAGGAAGAGGGACCGATAAAGACTTTCGACTGCTCGTACGGATTTTATGTGTCATTGGTCCGGCCGATAAATCACTGTTCTCTAATTGGCGGTATCATGACGTCATATATGGATAAAGGTACAAGGCCATAAGTTATAACATAAACGTACCTGAATTCGATCAAGAAGTTAACCAACTGAAAATTACGCGTATGAAGCGAATAAAATTTCGATGGGCACCAAAATAACTTTTCAATTACTGTATTAAATTTGCAATGGATAAGAAACATTAACTGATACACATACAAACTGTAAGCGATTACATGGGACAATAACTATGTGAAGTTTAGTGAACTAGACTGCAAGTCACACCTAATGTGCAAAGACTAGTGACATTGAGTAGGTATTTAAACTCTAAACAACAGTCCGGTGTATTGTATAGATCAAATTAGATTTACACCTGAGGCAAAACTCAGAAAAATGATACAGTAGAAAGTGTGCATATAAACTAACCTGAAGCATTAATGCAAGCCAGTCTCGCAAAGCTATACGGAGAGCCTCACGAGGTCTGTAAACAGATGCATATTGTCGTTTTCTACTTACACAGTCATCCTGACAGACAGACGGGTGTTCATTAATATCACCTGACTTTTGATCATCGATACCATCATCAATCACTTCGTTATCATCAGAAGCATTAGATTCAAAATCCTCACTTGTACATAGCATTTCTGTATCAGTTGATTGTATTATATGTTTGCTACCAGCTTGTCTAGATTAAAAAGTGAATAGCACTTACTTTTAATATTGCTTAATTAAAACAGACTACGAAAAAAACATATGATCGGTAATATGTAACTTTTCCGTTTCTCCTTACGTTTAAAAACAGTATAACCGCCGCCTTCTACATAGAAACGAACGTAAGGATATCGAGAACAAGCAGGATGTGTATTTCAGTGGTATATCAGCAGAAGTAAAGCCGAGATAATCAACTTTTACATTACAATTCCAATAAAAGTCAGGAGTGCGTTCTATGTGAATTACACTCAACACAGAGTTTAAGAAAATAGTTGCGCTAATATTGAGAATTAATAAGCACATTTGAAAATGAATAACCTTTTTTTAAATTTGATTTTTTGATCGAGTAAGAACAGTCCAAATCTTAATACGTGACTGTGTAAACGGGAGTTTACTGTTTAAATTACTGATACAGACAACTGTTATAATACATTTCCTAATGCAGATAAATTACAAAAACCAAGTTGCAATTTACCTCGACCATTGTGCAAGAGTATGGAACGCCACATAGTTTGCTTCAAATTCACAATTCGGATTGGTCAGCACTCCTCTAAGCAAGCCTTGGCGACGTAAAGCTAAGGGTCGACCACTGTACGGTCCTATAAATACGCGACGCTGGTCATAATCATTAGCATGTAGATTGTCCCATAAAACGATAGGATGTTGTAGTAAAGTAGATAATTCCTTCAGCTCCTTAGTTAAAATTCGTTTAGATACTACAAGCGGACCGGTCCAGATTACAGCGATACCTTAAGTCAATTTTTAGGCATTAATTAAAAGAAAAAACATTAACTTTGAGAATTTACTAACTACATATATAAGAATGTTATTTTGCCCATATTTTCATATCGAAGACATACTGTCAGATCATAGTTGCTTTTTTCGAAATAGTAATGAAATTCAGACAAAAAATAATACCTAACTTTTACTGTCATCTACAATAACAGTCGCCTATGTGCTGTTCGGTTAAACAGCTCCATAAGAACTCGGAAGGATAGGGACAAACATCATTGCCTTTTCGTCGTTTCTGCCTACGCTCTCACCGACTGCAGCTCAGATGAAGTGAAAGATGAATTTTACAGAAAGCTTTCTGAAGAATTTCAGAAAGCTAAACGCTCAGACATAGTACTCATAGGAGGTGACTTTAATGCTCAGGTAGGTAGCTTAAACCAAACAGAAAGGCATTTAGGTGGATATTTTAGCATTCCGGCACAGAGAACAGATAATGGTGATCGTCTGCTGCAACTGTGCTCAGACAATCGTTTATTTTTAGCAAACACAAATTTTAAGCATAAGAAGAGACATCGTCTAACATGGCGACCCTCTTCACCAAACCAACAGTGGACTCAAATAGACCATATTGTCATCAACCATCGTTGGAGATGCTTGATAGAAGACTTCAGCTCGTTTTGGAGTACATGTTTAGACTCTGATGATGCTGTAGTACGAGCACACATTTGCCTGTGCCTTACTGGACGCAGAAAAACCACACTAAGAAGACCCTTTAGAATTGAACTCAGCAATGAATAAACCAAAAGTATATTACAGGAACAACTGAGGTCACACTTAGGCAGTTCTGAAAACAAGGCTGATCCAGATGTTGCTTGGGAAGATGTACGAACAGTTGTGAAAATAGCAGTGACATCTAATAGTAGTTTGAATCAAAAGGTTACAAAAAACCAATGGATTTCTACTAAGTCTATTGAACTGATAGATTCTCGTAAACTCATCCCATCAGGCTCTGAACACGATGAATAACGAAAACAAGTCAGATATAGGTTAAACAAAAGTCTAATGAACGACCGTGTGCATTGGTGGGCAACGGAAGCAAAAGAGATGGAAAAGGCAGAGGCTGTATGTAACGCAAGACAGCTCAACGGACTAATAAAAGAAACTGGAATTAACAAATCAAGTGTAAGTGAGACTATTTCGGAAAAAGACGACAATCTTATTTGCTCCCAATTCAGACGTTTAGAACGATGGGCGGAACATTTTAAGGAGCAATTCATCTGGCCTTCAGCTACTCTACAACTACCCACCATTCCCAGATAGCCTAAATGGAACATTGAAGTAGGTCCCCTGACGATAGCTGAAGTTCAGAAAGCTATAGCTAATCTGACACGAGGAAGAGCAGCTGGTCCAGATGGATTGGCTCCAGAGGTCTTTAAGGATGGTGGTCCAATTTTAGCGATTAGGTTGACTAATATTTTAGCTAAAATCTGGGAGTTGGACGTTATTCCATCTGACTGGTCACAATCACTTATTGTCCCAATATATAAGAAAGAGTCAAAATCATCCTGTGATAACCGTATAGGGATTAGCTTGACTAACATGGCATCTAAAATACTAGCCTCAATAATTATCGGACGCCTAAGACTTGTGAACTGCAAACAAGGGAAAATCAGGCTAGCTTCAGACCTGGTTGTGGCTGAATCGACCACATTCACCATTCGTCAGGTTCTAGAACACAGGCATGCTTATCGGCGTCCGGAAATGATAGTTTTTCTTGGTTTAAAAGCAGTATTTGATTCTGTAGACCGAGAGGTTCTGCAGCAATGTCTGTCATTGAAAGATGTACCTCAGAAGTACGTAGACCTTGTGAAGGCACTTTACTCGAACACTATTAGTCGAGCCAAAGCTTATGGCGAACTATAATCTAATCTCGTAACCTCAAGTGGTGTCCAACGAGGCCGTCCACTATCTCCATTTTCATTCAACTTCATCGTAGACATACTGATGGAAACAACGTTCTCGTTCACTGAATTCTCGGGCATTGGTCTCCTACCAGAAGGTCCACTTATCGACTTAGAATACGCAGATGACACAGTTCTGTTTGGTGAAAACGCTGATAAAATACAGTCTTCTGGTATCACTGAGCAACAATGCTAGAATGTTTGGGATGCGCTTTTCCCCCTTCTAAATGCAAGTCGTTGCTCCAGGACTGGTCTGGGTCAACACCTGAACTAAGGATAGGGAGTGAAGTAGTCGAACGAGGTGACAACGTCACTTATCTTGGAAGTCTGATCAGCCCTAATGGGTTGGTGTCCGACAAAGTCTCTGCACGGATTCGAAAAGCTCGTTGGGCTTTTGACAACTTACGTCACCTATGGTGAAGGCGAGATATCCGTCTATCATTTAAGGGACGAGTATACTGTACAGCAGTTCGTTTAGTCCTACTTTATGACTGGGAAATGTGGCCATTAAGTGTAGAAGATACTCGTAAGCTACTAGTATCTGACCACAGATGCCTTAGAAATATTGCTCACAACCGATGGGATCACTGGGTAAGTGATAGTGAGGTTAGACGCAGGGTATTAGAGAATGATGATAAGTCAGTTCATGAGGCTGTAAATCTCCATCGACTAAGATGGTTGGGCCACGTGTTACGTATGCCTGAACACCGATTACCACGACGCGCAAAGCCGATTAATGTGGGAGACGGTTGAAGGGAACTTAGGGGCGGCCAAACCAAAACGTGGCATCAGTCCTTGAAGTCACTAACTTTTAGTCTTAGCCATGTTGGTAGATGCAGAGTATTTTGATGGGGTCCGCGTGACTGTCGTAACCAGTGGTTGGAGACTCTGGGTGACATGACTCAGAATCGATCACAATGGCATCGGTGTATACACTCTCTATCTTCCCTTAAACTATTAGATTAAAATTGCTTTATATCTTTCTTTCCACTAACTAATTCTTTCTTCCTGTACTATATCCTTATACACAATCTTTCTTTTATACATTACTACCATTGAAATGACTACTCCTATGAACTTGGTGTTCATCTTGTTGTGCTAATGAAATGTGGCAGTTTGGATCGGTGCATGTATGTGCCTGGTCCTACGTTGTAGCTGACTGACTGATATCTAAAATAAATTACCGGAAAGGTGAAGAAAACAATTTTGCAAATAAAACTGTACATCTATACTAAGATTGAATAGCAAAGTACTTCCAAACGCAAATATATATATATATATATATATATATATATATATATATATATATAACGAACAAGATTTAGTGGAATCATCAATTTTAATGAAACTTTTAATCCGAATACTGCACATACAACCATATATTCAAATTTTTGGTGAGAATTTAAATGGATTTACAGAAAAAGCAAGAAATAATCAACAAAATTACAATCACAAAGTAAAACACAGCGGACGTTTTAATAGACAAACGGATAGCTTGCCAACGCCATATATAGCCCAAGTGCGTAAAAGCCAATCGAGCACTTTAATTTCGTGCTCAGATCAAGTCAGCTACTAAATCACTAAGGATAATGTTCAACACACCACTAGTTTACTTCATATGATTAAAATAGGTACTGACACAAATCAGCCCTGAGGTAAAATTTCGCAGTTGTGAGAAAAACTAGTTTGAAAAATTATTACGTTATTACTCAAGGTATTTAAAAGACTGTTTCGTCAGCATCTTGATCAAACACTATTTTATCTGAAAATTTTGGGTCAATGATTGAGTTTCTAACAAAATCATGCACTTGAAACATTAGACAAATCTGATCGGAGTTTCTGCGACAATGAATCAGTCGAATTGTCCGCTGAGGCACCTTACCCAGTCGTTCAGCACGTCTTTGAAAATTACTAATTGTCACACCGTCAACCACAAACTGTTTTACTGACACGAGGTTTTGTTGCGACTACCCTGAGTTTATTGCGCAACAAGTATATCCACTGATTACAGTTCTGTAGCACTCTACGACTACTAGGTGTTTATCTTTACCTAGGCTGACTCCTGAACTCCTGGTTTTCCAGAATAAACCGACAAGGGACAAAAAGCGTTAAAAATTCTGAGGAAATCCAGCGTTTATATGAGAGACGCTTACCAAAACTGAAAGAGACAGTATCTAACATTTTAATGACGTCTTGTGAGTGCAACCAATGTTCATTTACGCTCTGTGGTGAAATGAGCTTAAACTAGAAACGATAATAGATGTAAATAAGAAACTTATGAATTCATAAGACGAAATTTTAGAAAAGAGCAAGTTACAAATATATTACCTGGTGCTAAACAGGAAGCGACTGTCGCTAGATATTCTGACTTATTAATATTAGGTACTGCTAAACTTGCACTGTACTCCGTTGGACAGAATAAAAAGACATCTGGACATCCTAAATGATTGTAAATTTCATTCGCGAACATAACCTGAGCACGGGCTGATGAGTTAAATACCTCTCGATCTGCAGGACATAGGCGCGGTTCAATATCATCAAAAAGAAGGGCAAATGCACGACAACCAAGTTTTGAAACCTAAAACATCGATATTATATATGATGCGTATATACGGGTTATCAAAAAAAAAACGTAAAACGTTACTGACAAACACAGCTAACGATCTGGTAAGAATAAAAACTAACAAACGTCACGATACAGTAAAGAAGAATCAGTAGAACGAAAAGCTAGGAATTTGAAATAATAATTGCTGTGGAAAACTATATGTAAAAAATATCAGTCTCATGAAAAATTGAAATCCAGGAGAAGTGTTAAATATTACTATACTCAATAACTAAAGTAAAGCAAAAAACAGTTACATTTGGGCCACTGTGACCTATTTAGTCGCGTCATCTAAAACCCCTAACCATACTTCATAATCATCCTACGAACCCCAATCAAAATTTCAAGCACATAGCTAAAGACCAGTCATAATTTTAAAAAGTCCACACAATAAATAGACGCAAACATGACTTACTGACGTTTAGTACCGACAAAAGCAGTTGATTAACAAATATGGTGGTGTTATATTCTTTGACTTGGGTGGCCTAACTCTCAGGCTTTCATTGCCGATCTAGACAACATTATCAGTGCCTAATTCACACAGAAGTGAGTCTTTAATAATTAGGAATAAATAGTAGGACTAATAATAAAAAGCAATGATAATGTCGACCACAACAACGAAAAATACCCAATTAAACCATCCGATTAAAAAAGTGCGACACTAAAAAAGCATCTATCTGAGCTATAAATCTTTACCATCACTTCAGACAATTTACATGCTTATTGTCAAAGTTTGTAGAAATTAAGAACGAACGATTCAGAAGACAGTAATAGAGATAAACCATCAGCATATTGAACTACGGTTCTAGAATGTGCATATATTTTAGCGCGCTTGATCACATTAGCTAGAGACAATTTTTAAGGATAACTTTAGCAAATTTTAATGAAACTCATAATGAGTATATATATATATATATATATATATATATATATATATATATATATATATAAAGGGAGAGATGTTTTGTAATCAATATTAATCAACTTCAAAATACACCGAGACAGATCAGAGACAATCACTAATAATTTAAAAATGGGCATTTTTTCATAAATGAATACTTTAATGTTTCTAAAATACCACCAACAGATTAAAAAACGGCTTCTTTTTTTTTCTTGGTTTGAAGCTGCAGTATTTACATAGTTCGGGATTCATTCGCACAAGTTCGTTTGTAGATATACTATAATTTGTTAGCAAAACAAACTAGATAATCCGTGAGAAAGGGGTAAAAGTAACACTAACGTCTGTAGATTTTAGGAAACAGGATAACAACTCTGACTAGTGCTTAATATTTCCTATCACTGATTAGCTCTGATGCCGTTAACATAGACTAATATTTGAGGGACGAAAAAAGATAACTGGAACCATATTTTTGTAAAAGATCCCCTGGTGATCATTCAGCAGGTTAAAGTGAATAGGAAGTTGTACGCAGGTTTTAAGAAAGCAGATAAACATCTCAGCTACTGTGCGAGTAGCATTCGTAAGAGCAGCCAATAGTTAAGGGAATCGCTGAATGTTAGTAATAACAACTCTAAAGAGAAGTCCTTGATAACACAAAACAGAAAGCGCAAGATATCTAATATGTCATCTAAATAGATTGGTTAATAAACTATTTTGCAACTCAATTCTCACGTACGGATTGATACAATGAGATTTGGAACCAGTTATTGAGGAGTTAGAAAAGTCATCCACCCATCTAGATGAAAATAGGTGGGGTAGATAAACACTAAATATTTGAGGCAGTGACCTTAAAAATTCCCTAAACGCTCTCGAAGTCTACTTGTCAGAATAAACAGCTCTAATTACATCACCTTGAGTATCTAAGTACCTAGACTGATTAAATTTTCTGTAATAAGTGGAAAACCATGATTCTGTGTTCGGACAACATTTTGAAGGCACTCAATCTTTATGAATAAACCAACTGTGTATACGCTTACCTGATCAACTTTTTTCTTTAAAATATCTACTTCTTTAGCACTAGAGAACGTTACATCTAAGCCCGGTGATATAGCAAAAATAAAAAGTACTCCAGCTTCAGTGGACTCAGTGATCAAAAACTGAAGTTGCTGCTCTTCCTCTGGAGTGTACAAATCCCTCCATGACTGTCTGTGTTTTATATCATCCTTAGGAGCATATAGGTAAGCATTCATCCCCATTTGATTCATCCTCCGAAACAGTTCTTTCCGTTGAGGATATGTCCAAGGTCGACCATAAAACCCTAAGTGTAAATTAGATAGAACATAATGTACAACATACCTTCAACAACGCCTGTAAGAAATTCTTTATTTACAAGTGTCTTACTGTCTTCGCTGGCCATTTTCAGGATTGAAGGGCCGTAGAGTACAACCTGATCTACTGGCTGGAATGGTCGTATGAATGAATGTCCCGACGAGATAAAGTTAGGCTTCAACTGCACTGACACAACCGAATAGCAGGAACTGAACAGTTATCGTGGATCAAAGTGACACTTTTCCGATCAAAAAATATCTAAATTCTCCAACAGTTTTTAGCGTTACAATAATTCCCTCCTTTATTTTGTTCGTGATTCTTTCAATAATCACCAAGATAAAAAGTAATATTTCGAAAACAAGATGACCACGATCTGAAACAAAACTAAACAAAAACGCGATTGTAGAACAGTTAAAATGACAGGTACTGAAAGCTTTGTTCAGATAAGATTACAGTGAAAAATGCATAAGCTTCAGACAAATATAGTGAGCTAGTGTGGATAAATGTTAATTGGCTTTCCAGTCTCCTAACTTATAAGTGAACTTAACCATAATTTTTATAATTCTATGTAACTGAGCAGCTGATCCTGTCAATGGATTTGTCTTCAGATATGACGTATAATAGGAGTAATTGTGATGCAAATCGCGGTGATTAGTCGACATACCTAAATAACAGGCCCTAAATAATTTAAGAGTGGAGTAAGCGCTTGCTTTATGTACAACCCAGTGGTCTGGTACTATCTTTTTCAATAAATGCTTGCAGTAACGATGTATTGCAACTTGGATCAACACACATCCCTGTCGAGTTGTACGTTATGGCTGAATAGCCTGCAGTAATGTCTGAAGGGTTTGTAAAATAACCGTGGTGAATGCTGCATTTATTCTCATACATTTTACGTGACATGACAACATCAGTATCCCCGAGGTCATTTGGTACCCAAGTTAAACAAAACGTAAGTACGATTAATTTCTGTAGATTATTATTCATCTGGTGGCTTTTTCAAACTCCAGATGTGGCATAAGTTACTTGTATCCTTAAGCCACCAGTAAATCGCTTTGATGGCTGGCACCGTCTCGTTCTTGTGAACTGTATCCCAAACTGCTGGCAGAAACCAACAACTTAGTCCACAAAGAACATATACATCACACCTATCGTCAATAAAAATTAATACACAAACTTCATATGTCTGCCTTCCTAGTTCTCATAGAAAATGATTCTTTTTTAACATATTCAGCATGCGACTCACAACCAATAACCCGTCTTTTTATCTAAACAGATTTATGATAATTCAGAAATGATGGCCTAATCAAGAATAAGTACCTACAACAAACAAAATGATCCTCCGAATTGGTTAACATGTTATTAGCACTGGATACATACCTAACAGATTATACATATTAAAATTATTGAAAGCCCATTAGTAAATCTCAAGAAAACCACAAACCTTATTAAATGAAGTGTACTAGCATCTCTTCCTATAACCCAGTCCCTAACATTGTCAACTGCACACCATGCACATGGAAGACACAAGAAACGCAAATTCTTTTCAAAAGGCACTACGGTTGTCAACTATTTAATTAAATATATGGAACAAGTCACACGATTTCCGGCAACTATCTAACGCTCAATGACATTACCCAAATTTACTGTTAAAACTAGTGTAACTACAATGATAATTAACATGTACATTAGTTGTTGAAAAGGTAGTAAATGCGCTAGTTAGAGTACAAGATATTTTCGAATCCCATCCAAGCCGGGCTGTAATTCAAAACCGAATAACTCCCAAGTGTATAGCATGAGTTACAATCCACACCAAATTTTGTGTACCAGAAACTTCATGTCACATCATCTTTAGCATTTATAGACAATCTAATAAATATATTCTCGTTACGTAGTCCTAAATGTATATACATTTAGGACCACATAACAGGAATCAATAAAGCAACATTTAAGTCAATGTAATCGAACTTAAAGATAGGCTTCCTTCACATCCGACCAATATTTTCCTACTGCGCTCCACGCTCAAGAACCTTGATTTTGTTAAGTGATCCCTTAATTTTATGGAATTAACACGTTTGGATAACAAAAAACCCCAGGAAACTCGACTCTCGCAACAGTGAGCCACCCCATGAAAACCAGAAAATCTTAAACTTACACACTTTTGTAATGAACACGGATAAGTCAGAGGCTAATGTGTAATGAAGCGATCCAAACGACCAGTTTGTCTTACCTTCAGTGTCCTATCACTTCATAAAATGCGCGCTTAAGACTCAAAAGCTAAACATTGTTGCGGAAATTATTATTATTATTGTTACTTAGGTTCTGTGACTTGGTTGTAGAAGACTTTTTTTCAACAACTGAGAGTACTAACATTTGATGTGATCATTTTCTATACATATGGAACTAAAGTTAACCTCTGCAATTCTTTTGAGAGATTCTTTAGTAGATAGCATTATTATAGCCTCTGGTAAGAATTTTCACGATCCTATGATTCTCACCAAGGAGATGTTTGAAGTGATTTTCATGCAACTTATTCTTCTTCTATCATAAAAAGATACCCAATTATGTTCATTTTAGTACCAAGATGAATAAGTCAACGGGATTATAAGCGGTATTATAAAAAGAGGTTTTAGTGGCCCATTGATTTGACTCCATTTAGAGTGTATAAATGTTTGCTATCGCCAACTCCCATACATGTCAAGATTGCTTTGTTATGGCTCTCGCTCGCTTAGCATGCGAAAAGGTCTACCACAAGGTCATATCTCCTCCTACAATTCTCTATTGTGCAAATTGCAAGTTTAGAGTTTACAGGTGAGTCCAATAGGGTTTATGTCATAGTCTGAGTACCTTTCAAGTTGCTTGTCTTCGGACTCATTCCAAGAGGGCAGTATTCTTTTTAGAGTAAGGGAACATAATTTGAGAGCTTCTTTTAGATGCGATCCAAAATAAACTATAAAAAGTTTCAAACTGTTTTAAAATCAGGGTGCCCGTTTTTCTGGAAATAAACATTAAGGCCTTGTGGGATGCAAAATGTCACTGGGAGAAGGCACCAAAGTATGGAATGAATAGAGCATCACTATTATTTACCATAATCCTTCTTCAGTTACCAGTAAAAATACTGAGGTTTTTTGTTCGTTCAGTCTTACATCAAGATATCAATCGGACTCTGTTTTTCTCTCCAACTCTTGACCGGAAACGGTCACACACCCCGTGAAGAAGCACCTTACGTATGTGATCTGTTTATAGACCAAGAAAGACGGATAACCCCGACCGGTATCATAACTAATATGAAAATTCTTCCAGAAATTGCAGAAAACCCTGCAATTATCTGAACTCAAGATGAACCGACGCGAAAAAAATTCGAGGAACTTCCTAGCCGGCACGCGTTAACGGCAACCGTAGCCGGTGAATATAGCCGTCTGTTGTACTTCACAGATGTGATAACGAAAGCTCACTATCTCATCTCTACTGGCGCAGAACTTAGTGTTCTTCCAGGAAATTCTAAAGACTGGCTTCACGAATCAGTTTTAAACTTACAGGCGGCAAACGGAAAGCCTATCGCCATATATGGTAAAAGGTACGTTTACCTCAATGGGGGTTTACGTAAACCCATTCACTGGATTTTTGTTGTTTCAGATGTTTCTATGTCAGTCATTGGTGTAGACCTCCTACAACACCACAATTTAATAATCGATACGCGCAAACGGAGGCTAGTAGACGGAAACACTAATTTCTTTTTCCGGTTCCAGTCACAATTAAGCACACGAAAGACCCACTTTATCAACCACTGCTCGATAGGTATTCTGGAACATACGAACCGCAACCAGAATTGCCGTGTGTAACCAGAAACGTTACACATTACCTTTATTCTCTAAAACATGCCAAATAGCCCCTGGAAAGCTGAGGTTGGAGAAAAAAGAATTCGACCACATGATAGACTTAGGAATCATAAGAATGTCAAACAGCCCGTAGGCATCTCCGTTGCACATGATCCTTAAAAAGGACAGCAACGATCGGCGTCTAAATGGTTACTTTTGGCGATTGAGTGCAAAAACCATTCCAGTTCGTTAGCCCTTGCCTCACATCCATGATTTGACAGCTACCTTGGAAGGCACAACTGTCTTTGCGAAAATCAACTTAGTTAAAGGGTATATCCAAATCCCTATGGCTACTGACGACATCCTAAAATCCGCTATCATATCTCCCTTCGGACTCTACGAATTTTCGCCAATGACTTTCGACCCAAGAAATGCTTCTCAGACTTTCCAAAAGTTTATTGATGACGATTTTCGAGGTCTCAACTTTGTACATGCGTATGTTGATGACTGCTCGATAGCAAGTCCGGACAGAAAATCCTATCTCTTGCATCTGGACCTTATTTTCCGACCATCCATACACATCTCGGACGCTAGTTCGAATCTGGACTTTTCCGTTGTCTGACCACACTGTTAGGAATCATTCGTTTCCGAACGGACGCCTACCACCCAAAAACAAACTGGTTAGTAGTGTAGAATTATGGTCTACTATGATATTAGTACTGCTCTAATAATAGACCTAATCCTAAATTTGTAGATTTGTCATAATATAACTGCCTAATCTATAAGATCTTACGTGGAAGTCACACCATCGACTACACCAACTCACTGTATCGTATCAATTACCGATACGTGATGTAGAACAAGGTTAGGCTAGAGAAAGAACAATATATTTAATATGAATAGAAGATATAAAGTAACATTGAGATGGACCACGCCTGCATGGACGAGCCATGCCATCCGATCAAACCCAGTCCATTCAATTCCTTGTTCGCACCTTCTCCATTGTTAGGTATTTCTCCGCGTTAAATATTGAATATCTATTTTCTGAGTAGTCTCGTGTTCACAGCTTGCGGATTGTGTGGCTATTGTCCAATGCCACTACACTACTCTCCCACCAGAATCAACGTGATGTCGGTTCGATACCAAATTGGATGGAATCGTCGCGTGCCGGAGGTTACCAAGGATAATAAGAATCCTCCGGTTATTGGTAAGCTGAAAGATAAATCAAAAAGAAAGCGGCAGCGTCTGGTCGGGAAATACATGTTATAAC